GTAGAGACAGGGTTTCACCATGTTGACCGGGATGGTCTCGATCTCTTGACCTCGTGATCCACCCGCCTCGGCCTCCCAAAGTGCTGGGATTACAGGCTTGAGCCACCGCGCCCGGCCCAAGAATGCCAATTTCTAAGAAAAGCCAGAGAATCAATTAACTAAAGATATCCTATTTTCCTTTGTAAGTGATTTTTAATCCTGTCTGGAACAAAGTGGGCACACATATATACATGCATGCATAACATGCTTTAGATAATAAATTATGGTAGAAAACTTTTCTCGCTTATTTTCCATCAGTCAAGATGGAGCATCAATCATGCTCATTAAATTTGATGTAAGAAATTGATTTTGTGGGAAAGTTTGTTTTTCTTTTTGTTGTTTTCACCCTTTAGTGGGCAGATCTTTGGAGAAGACCTGGAGAGGAGCAGCAGGCAGAGGTGGCTCCTTAAAAAACAGAGCAGCACTTGACCACCATTGCCTCTCAGTCCTTCCACTGGTCCCATTAGAGTAAGCATTTCTCCAGGCCGCGGGCTGCTTTCATCTGTATCTGTACCCCAGGCATCCGTCCATGCCTGGCCCTTGGAAACTGCTCATAGTGTTGATGAATGAATGCACTGATGAAAGAATGAATTGAAAAACCTAGGTTCCCCAGTGCTGTCAAATTCTACTTTTCAGTCCTTTTTAGCACCTGTTCAGACCAGCAAAGAGCAGAACTTGAGCCATAGGTGGTGATCGGATTTGTGCAGCCTGGCCCCATATATGGGTCTGTCTCTCACTTGGAGCTGGCACAAGTGATGGGGAAAAGTTCTAGAAAAGTCTTTTTTGGTGAATTAACCTGTTTGTTGCAACCCTTTTGTAGATGTAATTCCCTCTCTTTTTTCTCTAAAGGAACATGCAGAAAGAAATGAGGCGGGAAGAACTGGCTCATATGTTGCTGGATAATGTCTCTTGAGAAGGCCCTGGACTGCTGAGACCTCTCCATTGCCCAGTCCATAGTCACAGAGGCCCCAGTATCCCCATACCGCCAACCAAGAGCTCTCTGCATTGCAACAGTAACTCGTGCCCCAGCGCTTGCTCCCCCTAAACTTCTTGGAAGTCTCCATCTGACAGCCATGTGTCTTCACACAGAGTCTGCTATGCAGTGAGGATTTAATAAGTGACCAGTAAGCGATAGGATGAATGTCTATTTGTTGGATTGTGCAGTGAGGAGGATAAAGGTCTACAATCTTCATGGATCTAAGAACCATCTCTCAATCATAGTGATATTGTTAGCACCCTAGAGTTGTTCCTCAGTAAATAGCGAATAAATGCATTCCTCAGAGAAACATCTTTCAATGCCTTAAAAATAAATTAAATTTTATTGTTGAAGTTGTTCAGTTATGGTAGTCCTTTAAAGGCAATGAAAAGAGAATAAACCCTAAAACCAAAAAGACCTGGGTTAAAATCTCACTTCTATGTAGAGAATTTGGTACCATTGTTAGACTTAGCCCCCAGCTCAGAGTTGGACAGAGAGAGGTTGGAAGAGACCCATAGAGGTTGTCCTATAAAAAATGAACATGTTGAGTATCTTGAGAATATAAGCAAACCTCTCTGAGCTTCAGTTTCTTCCCTTGTAAAATAATTCCTGCTATTGTCCATGCAAGAAACATTGTCTTCTGTACAGCCAGCAACAGGAACAGCAGAAATGCCATTCTTCCCCTGCATCTCAGTCTCTTCCAATTTCAAAGAGTAAGTTTGGACCAGATGGTCGCTAATGGTTATTCCAGCTCAGCATCCGTTAATTTTCTAAAAACTGAAGAAATGAGCTTGAGGTGTGTTTTGGGGCAGTCTCGCAAGACAGGGGTATGAGGAGGCTCTCCAGAACATCAGATGGGGGCCTTGGGGACTCAAGGTCAGGCCTAAGTTATATTCCTGCCCATCTCTGCCTTCTTCTTCCCCCAACCTTGCTGTCCTCATGGCCACCCTATTGTAATATGCTTGGCCTGATCCCCAGCTAGATCAAATTCATTTCGGAAACTTTGATACCTGAGCTGTGGCTCTGGAAACTATGTCTCCAGAGGCAACACAATTCACCAAAAACTAATTGCTGGTGTCAATTGGTATTTAAAAAGTTAGATACAATTTCAACAAAAAGCAGATGCTTGACATTTTAATGGGTTGTTATCACATTTATGAATTCTGATACGCCTGAAAAAGAATTTCTTAAGGAGTTAAAGAGACCCGTCTTTGTTACTTCTATGAACCCTGAGACATTAGGGTTAGCTACTCATCCCCTAGTAGTTCACGACTCTGCAAGGCATGTGACATGATGGAAGGAATGAAACTTGAAGTGGGAAGAAAAGCCCCATGTTCAAATGTTCGTTCCTTCTCCTGCTAAGTTGTTACTTAAGTGTCGGTTTCTTCACAGTGGAAACAGATTTTATAGAATGCACCTGTATGATGTCATATTGGAAGTAAGACAAGCCAAACACTGAGCCTCACGCCTAGCTTTGGAACAGAAGTGCTAGCTCTGCTGCCTATCACTCTCCTGTTCTCTGATCATAAAATGATTCACTGTGGGCTGGGCACAGTGGCTCACCCCTGTAAGCACTTTAGGAGGCTGAGGCGGGCAGATCACTTGAGGTCAGGAGTTCGAGACCAGCCTGGCCAACATGGAGAAACCCTGTCTGTACTAAAATTACAGAAATTAGCCAGGCATTGTGGCGTGTGCCTGTAATCCCAGCTACTCAGGAGGCTAAGGCAGGGATTGCTTGAACCTGGGAAGCAGAGGCTGCGGTGAGCCATCATTGTGCCACTGCACTCCAGCCTGGGCGACAGAACAAGACTTCATCTCAAAAAAAAAATTAAAAAATTAAAAAATGTAAAAAAAACCAAGGCCCGATGAGGTGGCTGACACCTGTAACCCCAGCACTTTGGAGTTTGAGACCAGCCTGACCAACATGGAGAAACCCTGTCTCTACTAAAAATAGAAAAATTAGCCGGGTGTGGTGGCACATGCCTGTAATCCCAGCTACTCGGGAAGCTGAGGCAGGAGAATTGCTTGAACCTGGGAGGCGGAGGTTCCGGTGAGCCAAGATTGCGCCATTGCACTCCAGCCTCGGCAACAAGAGTGAAACTCAGTCTCAAAAAACAAAAAACAAAAAAACACAAAAAATGAATTCATTGTCATTATGAAAAAAATAAAAATAAGTAGTAAATAAATAAATGGTAATTACTATAATGCTGGCATCTGTATTCTAACAATGTTAATATTCAGTTCATATGTTTTCAGCCTTAGCATAGATGTTTTAAATACTTTGAATTGAGCTATATAAACAATTTTTTCCCCTGCATATCTCATGAGGAATATTTGCCCGTATTACTGAGACCATGTATGAGCATTTCTGTCAACTGACTACGTCTCAGCCCATCCGAATGTGTCATCATCGATGTGATCATTCTCCTATTGTTGAACCTTTCATTTTCACATTTTAAAAATCTTGGCTTGGCCAGATGCAATGGCTCATGCCTGTAATCCCAGAACTTTGGGAGGCTGAGGTGGGCAGATCATGAAGTCAGGAGATCAAGACCATCCTGGCCAACATGGT